TTTATCATTTGTCTCATAAAAAGCAATTTAAAAAACCCTTAAATTTTAAACTGATCTTTTCATTCTTTTAATTCTATTATCAATAAAGATTTAAAACCATTTCTAAAGCTACTCTGTGTCACCATCATTTTTCTAGACATCTTTAATTACATCTCCAGTAAGAGCAATTGGCTTAGGAGATGGGAAGCAGGGGGGATTCATTTTTTACAAACAAATGGGTTTTATTACTTTCCAAGAGTTACTGCAAGGATGACTGGAGAACAACAGTGAAATTGATGGCTGGCAGTCAGCTAGCTCTTTCACCTCTCCACGCCAATCTCTTCACTCAAATAATTTACTACGTCATTCTTTGTTAGCCAAAACCACAAATGTTAAATCCTTGAATGCCAAAGACCTCTTCTACCCCAGAGTGCTCTGTAAATGTAAGAGAATAAAGTTTTTAGTGCAGTTTATAATTTATCAGTTTTGAAATCTATTTTGTATGTTGCTTTGTGATTTCTTTTTTTTTTTTTCCTTTGCTTTAAACCATGCCTTTTTCTCTTCTTGGGAATTTTGTGCTCTTAATATTAATTCTAAAGTAAATGGTCTGTACGGAGGGGGAAGTGGTGTACCCACAACATGACTAACAAAAATGTACAACTGAAATCTCACAAGGTTGTAATCTATCATAACATTAATTAAAAAAAAAAAAAAAAAAGGAAAAAAAAAATAATAATAATAAAAAAATAAAGTAAATGGTCTAAACTCTCCACTGGCAAATTTGGATATGTCAGGAGAGTGGGCTACATTCCATGTGTTGCCTTTGAAATATGAGCACAATAACATGACTTCACATTGCGTGAGCACACCAACCAAATTCAGGCCGAAGGCTACAGCCACGACACAGACAGTCCTTTCATCCTAGCTTTCCTCAAAGCTGCCATAAATTATTGCTGCTGGATGTAGTGCCAGGATACTTAAGCCAATTTTCATGTTCAGGAGGACTTGAGGGGTATCCTATACCAGCATACCAGCTCAACCAGCTAATGACTCCCCTCTCCACCTCAGCCCTTCTGTGAAACATGGTGGTTTCTGCCCCTTTCAACAAAGAAGTAGTTTAGCTATTTGAAGGCTGAGAGAGCTGTATCATAGAAGTCAGAGAAGTGAGATAGAAGGAAGAAGTAAGGGGAGGCAGTTAAACCACTTCAAAACTACTTTTAGAATTTCAGACTGCGTAGAAAGTGGCCTTAAAACTCAGAGTGAAACCTCAATCTTTCGTACATTCATCTTAGAAGCCAAAAGTTGGTAGGAAGGCTGACTGTGAAAGCCCAACCCCATACATTCATGAAGAGCAAATTTAAGTAATTTCCCCAAATTTCCTACGTTCGCTTCACTTTAAATTACTGCAGCTGCCATAAATAGTCTTTCTCATCTTCTCTTAATGTCCTCTATCCTCCTGCACTCTTCATTTCTCAGATTTAGGACTTGCAAAGAAACTGAGATTTCCTTTCCAACAGAATATACCATGCCCAAGCCTCACGTGGGGCTGTCTGTACATTAGAGACATGGAAGTGTCTTGTTCATCCTTCCTTTATAAGAAGTAATCACCTTCAGCTGGGCCAAGTTGATGGAGCAAATGTTCGGTTTTCACGTGATTTTGCTGCAGCGCCATAATGAACGTATCTCTTTGATAGAAGGAAGAAGATCCATGAAGTAAATAATTTAAAGATTTGGAGTCGGAGCTAGAAACCTGGGCTGCTTTGCTCTTACAACAACGGCTTCACCATCTAAAACATTTCTCCATTTTGAAGGATCTGTCTGTTCTCTTCCAGCCACAACCCTCAAGCTACAATAACAGACTCATGAGTTTTTTAGGTGCCAGGGTTATGAGTACACTTTTATGAATATTTTCCTTTGAACTCATTTCTCTTGGAGAAGAAAAATAGCCCTATGCCTTGCAGGGTTGATAGTAATAGACAAAACATACCAATTGTTCTCTTAGGGGCAGTAAAATGCTCCAAAATGCGCAATTCCAAATACAGCATAATGTTTATGGAGCACTGCCTTTGCAGCTATAATTTTTGAAAAGCAATATTTCTGACTGGCATGTATTATATAGAACATATTTCAGAGATTAGTATCAAGATTAATACCTTAAAATGTCTCCCTTTACAGCATTATGATTGCTTTTCTCATATTAGTGCAAACTCTTAGTGAATAGAATTTTAGGATGTGCCATTTGGAAGGAAGGAAAATTTCATTGGATTAAGCTGCTTATGTTTTTATTTTTCCTCTCATCTCATTTTAACATATCCTCCGACTTCTTCCTCTAAAAGTAGTTCAACTAATGCCAACTCAACAGATTATAGCAGCCCTCCTATTAATTTCATTCTGCCTCAAAAGAAATTTATATAGGTTTATAATTATATACTAGTACTGTCAACTAATGTTTAGGATCCTTCTTAAAACTTCTTTCCATTCTCTTTTAATATCATCAGTTAAATGATTTCTTTTCGGATGTTAAAAAAAAAGAATGTATTTTCTCTGAACCCCTTTCAAATGTTTTCTCTCATGCAAAAGTGAATCCAGAAAACTCAACTTCCTTTAATCCTGCTTTGTGGCTTAGATTCTTTAGCCCTGGACCTTCTCGTGTTGATTTATGTTATACCCACGCTGATGCAAAAACAGCCTTTGCTATGCCAAAGAAATAGTTCTGCATGCAAATGCTGTGCCTCTGAAACCTAACATTGTCGGGTGAATCACAGCCATAGTGATTAAAGAATGCTCTCCCAGACTGGGTGAAGGACCTATGAAAGTTTCAAGATTTGCTCTTTGCATTCGGGATTAAGAATATCCTGTGAAGTTCTTTTCTTGTAAAGAAGTAGTACTCTACGGTGGTTCAGAGCATAAGCTTTAGAGCCACAATCCTTGGGTTCAAATCCATCATTGCCATTTACTAGCTGCGTGATCTTGAAGAAGGCACTTAGCCACTCTGAGCATCATAAAATGAGGTTAAGAACACCATCTACCCCTTAAGATTGTCGTGAGCATTAAGTTGATAAAAACATAAAAACACTTGTGACACTGACACAGAGTTAGTACTCAACAATTGTTAGCTCTTATTATTTAACTCACAAAGGCACAACATCTCTTTATATAATTTTAGAAGTGGATTTGTAAAATAAAAAGAAACCCCAGAAAAATTTAATTCTGTAAGATTTACCAACATGAAATTACAGACAATGTATGTCTGTATGTATTTACATGTACATACATATTATATGTAGTTCTGGCTATTCTTTTATATAATCATATATAGTCATACAGACAAAATCATATTTTTTTTACCTGGAAAGCATGTTTTAGTAAGTAAATTCCTTTCCCAATGACTTCCTTTGTCACTGAACTTAAAGCTGTCATTCCTCACTCAGCTTGTGTGTCTCATGCCCTACCCAGCTCACACATTAATTCAGTGATTATTTGTTAGATCTCTGCTCAGAACAGGGAGCACATGAAGTACAGTGGCTTCGACTAATTTCGTCTATATGGCAGGATCTATTTCCTAATTGTTTAATTGATCAAGTTTGTATTTCTAGATAACTGTTCTTATAGCTAAAGAAAAATCCATGGATTCCTATGTATTTCCAGCCCAAACAATTTTGCTCCCATGAATCTTCTGAAAGAAATACACTACAAGTAATTAACTAAACTTGAATACCATATAATTTACCTACACAAAATTATCATAACCACTGTGCTACTACTGTGTTATCTTAATATTAACCCTAGAGGACACACTCAACCGTTTCTTCCTTTCTTCATCTCAACCCAAGATCAAAACAGCTAACAAATGTCTGATAATTATAGACTTTACCAGAAAAAAAACCCAAAAAATTGTAGATACAGTTTGATTACAACTACACAAAAAAATCTTCATTGAAAATTTGTGAGGAGGGGCCAGCCCTGTGGCACAGTGGTTAAGTTCAGCGCATTCCACTTCAGCGGCCTGGGTTTGCAAGTTCAGATCCCAGGCATGGACCTACATCACTTGTCAGCCACGCTGTGGCAGCAACCCACAGACAAAATAGAGGAAGACTGGCAACAGATGTTAGCTCAGGGCTAATCTTCCCCAAGCAAAAAAAGAGGAAGATTGGCAAGAGATATTAGCTCAGGGAGAATCTTCCTCACCAAAAAAATAAATAAATAATAAAAATAAAGAAAAAAGAAAAAAGATACTAAGTGAGGAAACACTGAAGAGTGAATGGTGATTCTGTTAATATAATGGGATTATAGCTTTCTAATTTTCTGCTTTTTTTTGTTACCGGCTATATTATTTTAACAAGAAAAATGTTAAATTTGCAAAACTACAAAAATTGAACTATCAAGGGCCAGCCCCATGGCCAAGTGGTTAAGTTCACGTGCTCTGCTGCTGCAGCCCAGTGTTTCACGGGTTCAGATCCCAGGTGCGGACATGGCACTACTCCTCAGGCCACATTGAGGTGGCATCCCACATGCCACAACTAGAAGGACCTGCAACTAAGATATACAACTATGTACCAGACGGATTTGGGGAGATAAAGCAGGAAAAAAAAAAAAAGAAAGATTGGCAACGGTTGTTAGCTCAGGTGCCAATCTTTGAAAACAAAAAATTGAACTATCAATTATACAATTTTCTATTTATATAAAAAAGAAATTCACAACATGGCATTTAATTCTGATTTAATTTCCAAGAAATAAACCCTACAAAGATTTCTCAAAGAAATTGGAGAGCCTTCAAACTCCATCTCTATTTCGTATTATATGCAACGATTCCCAAGTGTAAAAAGTCTTGAAACTTGGTCTACATATTGCACACCATCCTCACACTTAAGCACTATTTAGAAGACCATGATACCAGCTAGATGAATCTGATTTAGATTCACAGTTTCTTACCCAAAGGAGTTTTTAAAAGATACTTATTTTCTGTTTTCCTGACATTTCTCTTTCTTTATCTCTAGATGAAAATAATGAGCAATTTAGGACATGATGCAAATCTAGGATTTATTGATCACATATTCAACGACATATACAGAATGAATCTATAGGATAGAAGTTTCCACATAGCATTTGTCTAGAGTCAGATTAGTTTAAATCGTGCCTTGACTTTTGAATGAAATACTAGATGCAATTATCATAAACTAAATCAGAATATTACAAATAAAGATATTCCTTTTTTTGTTTTTTTGAGGAAGATTAGCCCTGAGCTAACTACCTCCAATCCTCCTCTTTTTGCTGAAGAAGACCGGCCCTGAACTAACACACATGCCCATCTTCCTCTACTTTGTACGTGGGATGCCTACCACAGCATGGTGTTTGCCAAGCGGTGCCATGTCCACACCCGGGATCTGAACTGGCGAACCACGGGCCACAGAGAAGCGGAACATGTGAACTTAACCTCTGCGCCACCGGGCTGGCACCAAATGAAGATATTCTAACACAAAGACTTGTATGATCTTGTTTAGATTGTCGATGGTGGTTTCATCCAAATTTTCTTCATTGTCATCCATGGTGTGCCAGACTTCAGGGAAAGGAGACGATATCAGATGCAAAACTGGAACGCCTAACAAGAAAGAATCAACTTGTAATCAAATGCACATTTCTGGTGAGTAAACTAGCAACTGTCATTCTTCAAGTAGAATTCTGGGAGCTCTGTACCTTATAAAAACAGCTGATAATTCATCATATTCTGTGTACCTCTTTGTATCTCACCCTTATACTCCTAAGTCATTCATTCATTAACAAATCTTAATTAATTCAGTAAATAAGTATAAGGCAGCTTCTATGTATCAGTCCCTATTCTAGGAGTTGAGGTTTCATCAGTGAAAAGGCCAAGCCCTGCTCAGATGGGGCTTACATTCCAGTAGAGAAAGAAGCAAGTAAACAAATATAAAAGATAATTTTGGAAAATGATGAGGCTTATGAAGAATAATAAAGCAAGGTAAGGGAATAGAGAATGAGAGGCAGACAGTAGGGCCAAGAAAGGGGTATTTAAAGTCATGGAAGGCCTCTTTGAGAAGCTAACATTTAAATAGAGACATGCAATAAGGAGAAAGCAAGCTGTGTAAGATGTGGAGATGAGCATTCCAGGCAGCACTGGTAGCAAGTACAAAGGTCCTGAGGTAGGAGTATGCTTGGCCTGCTTGAGGAACAGCAAGGAACCAATGTGGCTGCATCAGAGCAATCATTGGAGAAAGAGGTAGGAGGTGACATTTGAGAGGGAGAGCAGAGTCAGAAAATAGAGGTGCTTGTAGGTCATGGTAAAGACTCTGGGTCTTATTCCACATGACGGCAAGCCAACGGAGCTTTAAAGCAGGGAAGTAACATAATTTGATTTACATTTTTAGAAGATAGCTCTTACTCCTATGTAAAGCATAGGGAAGCAAGAACAAAAGCTGGAGACCAATTGAGAGGTTACTGCAAGAGTCCTTGGGTTGATTTAGATTTCCACCAGGAACATCAAGGATATTGCTTCCTTATTAATTAGAAAACACCAGAGTTACACAAAGTGTAAGAATACAATCAAACTCCATGAAAGGGAAGGCACGGACAGTGGAATATGAGCTTTCATAAATATTCTAGGTGTGGGAAAAAATATAAAGGTGTCCTCAAGGATTTGAAATGACTTTCATGAAAAAATGGAAGCCATGAGATGATTAGTGAATGATTTAATTAATTAATTAAATGTAATGGTTCTTCACACTTCTGGATTGCTGCAAATGCACATAAAACATAATAAATACAATAGGTAAAAAATGCACATGTGCATGCACACATACATACACTATACATACACACACACGTTACCTTTGTTTAAAAATGGAATATGGTCGTCCTGGATCACATTTCCATAACCATTGCTGTGGAAATACGGCCTCTCATAAGAGTGATCCTTAAGCAAACCTAATTCATGAAGTTCATGTTCTGTAGATGACAATTAGACAACAGATGTGTATCTATTTTTATCTGATCAATACTCAGAATGCATAAGCAGTTTGAAAGCCTAGCAAACCTGGCAATGGTTCTTAAAACATTATGCAGCAGGGAGCACAGCCACACCTGTGACAAGACATCTGGGCTGAAATGGGGTGTGTACATTTTGGAGCAGTTCTGAAGAGAGCAGAGTCTCACGCGGCTCTAGCTTTGCAGGTGAGAATCTCCTTAGAGGTAGAAACTCAGTAGAACAATGGAGGGATGGAATGAGGAAAATGGGGGAAAAAACACAGGCGTAGATACTTACAGCTCCTAGATCCTGGATGAAGAACGCCTTAAGAGAAGACGTGGGGCTTGAAAGGGGAATAGTCAAACAGAACAGGGCTGAAGTATACTGAGTGGCCACTCTATGGGAAAGGATACCTATCATGACCTGCACTAGTGGGTCTCAAATTGTGGTCTCTGACCAGGGCATCAGCATCACCTGGGAACTTGTTAGAAATACAAATCTGGTCCCACCTCAAATTTACTGAATCACAAATCCTGGGGATGCAGCCCACTGACCTGTGGCGTAACAAGCCCTCCAGGTAATTTTGATGCACACTACAGTTTGAGAACCATGGGCCTGCATTCCATCACTCTTGGTTTTTTTTCCCCCTGCTTTTTTCTCCCCAAATCCCCCCAGTACATAGTTGTATATTATTTTAGTTGTGGGTCCTTCTAGTTGTGGCACATGAGACGCCACCTCAACATGGCCTTATGAGCAGTGCCATGTCCATGCCCAGGATCCAAGCCCTGGGCTGGCGAAGCGGAGCATGCAAACTTAACCACTCGGCCACAGGGCCAGCTCCTCCATCACTCTTGTCATCTTGTAACAGAACCCGTGTGTTACGTATAACATGAGTTCTATGTTATAAGATGATAAGAGATCACAAGAAGAGGATTAAGAAAACGGAATGAAACTTCATAGGATAGCTGTGGGTTTTTTTGATTGCTAAATTTAAAGGGTAAAACTAGACCAAGCGGTAAGCACGCATATGTAATACAATTTGGGGAACATCGAGAAAGCCCTTGCCACCACCATAACAATATTCCTATCTGTTTATTGATATTTATAATTCCTTTACCTTAGGATACAATTTTTCCTTGTATAATTAGAGATATGGTTTGAAGCATAAATACCACTAGGAAGGACGGCACAATGGGTTAAAATTGCATTAAAGTGTAAGTTACTGATATAAGTTCATTCTGGTAGAGAAAATAAGAAAAGTGCACAAAATCCTTGAAAGAAGGCCAAACCCAATTTCTTGAGGCTACCATCAAAGTAAGGAAAATATGACGCGAGAAAGAGGCCCAAAAAGTTTATATTAGTATTAACGCCATGATAGGAATTCTTCCAAACCCGGAATTGAAATTTGCTAAAGATAAGCATCTGAGGTTCAGGTAGAAGCTTCTCTTGTATATTCTAGATCTGGATATTGGCAAATTCTGAACTCATGGCAAAAGCATGTGTTGAGATGGCAGTGCTTTCCCACTGCTTACAAGTAATACAATTCTATCCTGCTCCAAGAAGTTTATGTGGCTAGTAAGGAATTCCTAGCCTGCAAGTTCTTGCCTCAGAAGCAGGCTTCCTGGCCTGAATTCTATAATAAAAGTCTATCTCATTTTCATCTCTCCCAGATGATGCCAATTGGTTTTTTGGGGGGAGGGGGGATGTTTAGGGGGTGGAAAAGTAGAGGTATGAAGGAAAGAAGTTACTCTCCTTTTCTTTCTCCATGCCCCAATCCTCTCTCTTGAGTCACAGATATCCTTGTTTCTTTGCCTGGCCTGGCCTGGCCTGACTCGCTCATTTATCTGACACTAAACCTTCTCTTAAATGACTCTTGAAGGATCTTGGCTTTCTCTTGCATCCCAATCTCTTCCTCCTTCGGAAAATAGGCAGAGTTTATATTAGATTAAAAGGAAAATCATGCCTGGATAATGCAGAAAATAGAAGATGACGAAGACAGAGATGGAAAAGAAAGAAAAATTAAAGAATATCTCTTGGTGTCATTATAAGAACACAGCGTTGATCACTAGCCAACATGCTTGGCTGAGTAAAGGTTTCCCTGGAAATGCATTCCATATGCTTCAAACGGGACTCTGGAAAAATACTTTCAAACCATTTCTTAGGATATGCAAATATTAAATGTAGTGTTTTATGTTTCCATTTCAAAATGCAGTTTCATGTAGGCAAATAAAGTGGGCCTACTAAAAGAGATAAATAAGAATAATAATCAATAAAGCAAGAAAAAAGACAGTAAAGTATATTATATATTCAAATCCTAATTTAAATCAAATTTTGAATTTCAAAGTGTAGTGTTTGTCAGCAGGAAGAAACCAGGTTTGACTTTTTAATGACAATGGTGCTTACCAATTGCTCGAAGTCTATCAAACCATCTGGCAGTATTTGGAAAAAAATTGGGAAATGTTGGGTTTGGAGCTCCAATTAAATCCAGCAAGACCAACAAATCCTAAAGGAGAAAAAAGATTGTTTAATCGCTGTCACCAAAACACATTTTACATTCATCAATAGAAAAAAACAATCAGGGGCCAGCCTGGTGGCACAGCGGTTAAGTGTGCACATTCCGCTTCAGCGGCCCAGGGTTCGCAGGTTCAGATCCCAGGTGCGGACATGGCAGCGCTTGCCAAGCCACGCTGTGGTAGGCATCCCACATATAAAGTAGAGGAAGATGGGCTCAGATGTTAGCTCAGGGCCAATCTTCCTCAGAAAAAAAAGAAAAAAACAATCAGTCCAAACTAACTTCATTTTCATAATTGAGAGTAATACAGGGAGCTGTATAAATGAACAGAAAGTTTAATAACATTGTAAGCTAATGCTTTGAGGAACTTTTTAAATCTTGCTTACGCAATGTGGACAAATGGCAGTGGATGTCCTCTGTGTCTGTAACCTCAGAAGAATAGCCACAGTTAGATAAATATTTTATATATTAAAAAAGAATATATTTACTTTATTTTCAGGTGGGAGTACACGCCTGTCTGATCTTCTATTCCACTCTAATTAGCCATTTTATCCTTAGTCTGTAATGATACAACTGCCTATAGGAGAGCACTGGATAATAACTACTTATTCCTCAAAGCAGCATGTAAGAAAAATTCCCTGACAAGGAGCACTATGACCTTACATCTCTGGCTCTCCATTTCCTTTTCTATCAAACAAGAAGTTCAAACTTGCTAATCTCTAACGGTCCACTCTGGCTATAAGCCTCTATAATTAAACCAGTGTTTCTTAACTTGTTTGAGCCAATAAAACATTAGTAAGCTTGAGGACTCCCTGAAGAATACCCCCCCCCCCAGATTAAGAATTCCTCATTTATATAAGTGAGATAATGTGTGGGTAAATACCTAACAGATCCTGACACACAGTAGATAAATATTTGCAGAGTTTATGATTCTAAAGACATAGTATCTATTAACCCATGAATGATGATTAAATATATTTCCTGGGGAAAAATAGGCTTGTTTGAAAGAGGAGTATTGGATAGGCTACTAAGAGTTTGTTCCTGGGGGAAAAAATGGTCTTAATCATCACTATGGATTCATGTATTTGGATGGACTGATAAATAAATAAATAACATTGTTCCTCCTACTGATCAACAAGATCTCTCCTCTTCTGAACCCTGTTTACCCACTTGGGCACAAGTGACTGGATGAGGTGTCAACCATACTCTCCTGATCCCATAAGACTTCCCAATGGACAATGGGAAGAAGAGAATGTCAATATGAGACGTGTTAGAGTCACAGAGGACATTTAACATGGCCATTTGGACTCACAGGGTAAAGGCTAGTGATAGGACAAAGGACAGGGAAGAGTGGAGGCAGTTAGGAATAGGTTTTCAGGTCACAGAGAGGGTGAAGGCAGATTGGATGAAGGCACAGGGAAGAATGAGGTCTCAAGGGTAGCGTGGGGTTCCAAGCTGGGGTTAGTGAGGATTCAAGTACCGAGTCAAGGTCAAATATGAGAAGACAGTCAGAATAGGGAGAGAATTCAAGGGCAGGGTGAGGAACTAGGGAAGGAGTATGGGCCCAGGAATGAGGATGAAAATGGGGCCATGTGTTGCACCCATTGCTTGGTAATAAGAACAGGGTTTTAAGGCAGCATCAAAATGTCTCCACCTCCATGTCAAAAACACCACATCAAAACCGACACGACAAAATGTCATACACACACTTGGAGGTATGATGATGCTTTGAAGCCATTGAGGAAATTCTTCACGCACATCCCCACACTGTGTCCCACTCTTACTCCGTTTCCCAAGACCCCAGCCTCCTCAGGCTTTCTAGAGGCCTCAAAGAAGGGATTTGCTCTCTGTACAGTCCCCGGGGAATGTGCTCCCACTGTACTGAACTGAATTTGATGTTTCCTTTATCTGATTCTTTACACCATTTTAATTAAGCTCCATCAAACATAACTTCTAACCCAGAATCATTCTTTTTAGCTCTGGGATTCCTCAAAAACCCAATGCCTGCCAAGGAATGCTCTATCATAAACACTCTGTTCCAAAGACGCCATGGCATTTTTAGGTCTTTAATTGGCTTTAGCTTTAGCTCCTTTGAGGCAGAGCCTGCAGCTGCAGCACCATGGAAATTACCAGGACTCACCATGCCATGCAACTGGTTGGTGTCTGTTGCTCCAGGTGGGTGTGGGGTCGATGCCATCTTCCGAGCTAAGTGCTGAGACCCGTACAGAGAATCTTGAGGAGACCAGTGAAGAAAAGCCTCTTCCCCATCAAAGAAAATCAGCTGGAGTGAAAGATCTGGCTGGGAGTTTGGAATCCTCTGGTAAAAAGAACAGTAAGAAGATAGCAAAAACGCTGTGAGGATTAAAAAACAGCATGCTTTCCCATTAATGGGGAAAAAAAAGATAAATATGCCATGAAGAAAAGGAAAATACCAAAGCAAATGAAAATATTGCCAAAGCTTATTTCATACCACTTCCTCTCTGAAAATCATCACACCTCCCACAGTCTTCGCCCATATAAAGAGAAGTGTGAAACTGTGGAACTGCTATGACGGACATCGTGACACATCACCTAGTTCCCTTTCAGAAGAATGTGTTGCCCCTGCTGCCGGGACAGCTGTCAGCAGAAGGCCTTCAACTGTTAGCCCCTTTAGGAACTGCCTCAGCCATATGGGTGTTCTTCACCCAATGACTGACCGAAGCTGGTCCCAAGGGCTTTCTAAAGGGCCATTCTACCTCCAGAGCCCCCAGGGGTTGGCTGAGGCTGTTGTGGAACCTGCATGGCAGCTCGATTTCTCCCTCTGCCTAATCCCATTTTTCTTCCCTCCCTGCCACTGGTGTTGAGCCAAGCCCACTCCCTAATAAATGACCCAAATGCTAAACTCCACAACAGTGTACATCCCAGGGAACAACCTGAAAGCACTGCAAATCTTTCTTGCTTCTCACCTTATTTAAGTCTGCAATTTTTTTATTGAGTCTAAGTTCAAAGATCTGTCCTAGGAATGCAACAGGGACACAAGGAATGATAATTATAGCCTCTCCCTTGAAGGAACCTACACCTTAGTTGGGTGAGAGAAAGATAAACTGAATATAGGAGCATGACCAAACATGCCAAGGTCACAAATGTAACACAACATCCCTCTGGGAATTGGATAGAGTGAGAGGTTGAATCCGCCAGACCTCAAGGAAGACTTTATGACGGTGACAGTATTTGAGTGGAACTTAGAAGGGTCAGTAGGATTCTGATCGATTTTATACTTTCCACAGTCAAACTCTCACCTTTCAGATTAGTCCTTCTGGTACTCTGACTCCCACAATCCTTCACTCCTACAGGAATCCCTAATCTATTGAATCATTCATCTTTTCAGTCCTTCATCCCCATGATGTCCTCACTTCACTCCATATTCTGCTTCAATTCCAGAGTCAATCATTCTAAATGCTCCCTTGCATACACACTCAACTCCCTTGCCTCTTCCTGCCCTGCTCAAACTCACATGGCAAAAACATAACCTTACGTCCAACTCTCTGCCTACTTTGTGCCTACACTCATGCAGCTGAACCCGGCTGAGAAAAATATACAACCATTTGCTCTCTCTGCCACAGTACAGTACAGGGAGAACGTGCTCCCATTGGACCAAACTGAATCTGATGTTTCTTTAATCTGTTATGGATATAACTTCTCTATCTTCCCAAGGATGTTAACAATAGTGTCCTTTAAGTTATCTTCTGCTCCTGTACTCTATTTCCTCTGGGTTCATTTTTCAATTTCTATTACTTGTTTTGCTTGCTTGCTTTCATGCTGGAGACTGTCCTCAAATGTCTGGTCGTCCTTTGTGTTCAGTCACATTAAAGAATAAGGTACTGAAACACTGATTAGACACACAGATTGGTTGGCTTCACGGCAGGGCAATCTCGTGCGCAGTTGGTGTTTTCACTGAGGATCCCCAACTGTCACTGTCTATGGGTCTTTTCTCTGAGATGGCTCATGCTCTCTGGAGAAGGATCCTCAAGTTTCCTGGCTACTGGGCATAAGCTGGCTGCTCGCTTTCTCAGGCTGGAACTGGGGAAAAGGCTGGGGAATTTCACTGTTCAATGTGTAGACTTTCACCTATCTTGATTTCCACGAGGCAGCTTATTACTGCCTTTCTCTATATCCAGTGTCCCCATATCCAGAACCTCCCTGATTCAATTTCTCCAGAAAAATGTTCTATCATCTCCTCCAAGAGTACAGGTGAGGTACTCACATATCTGCTAGATGCGGGGTGGGAATCTATTTACCTAAGTGGTCCTTTTACAGATTAATAAACACTCCTTCCCAGCCCCCTGCCTCACTTTTGCCTTCTTCATTCCTCCCTCCAGTTTCTGAGCCATTCCAAGATTTTGCCAGAAAACCACCAGCTTCTTCCATTTCCTCCTCTCCCAGGGGGAATGTGACCTCTCTATTCTGCTATGTCATTTGCCCTATGTCCATTCACCTTCTGTCTTCATATCATGGTTCCCATTAACAGATGTTCCCTAGTTCCTTCAAAGATGGAGTTTTCCTGATTGTTTTAGGGTGATTTCACAAGAAGGAGAAAAATGTTTTTATCATCTAAAAACTAAGTTATTTTGTATGCTGATCATTTCAATTGTCCTAATATTGCTCCTTTATTAGACCACAGGAAAAGGACAGTTTACCATTATACTTTGAATCTCTCATAACTACTGACAGCATTAGGTACAGGAGGTGTTTGTCTGTATAATACATATGCACTCAGGGTTTAATAAGAACTAAGTAATTAAACAGATTTTTCCAATGGCAAAAGGTTCAAGGTGCATACTTCAGTGAGACATTCTGAGTTTCCAGTTGTTTCAAGGGCCTTTACTGGCCCCAAGTTCCAGCTCTAAATCAAACAGCATAATCATGGAACACCAAGGCAGAATGAGACTGCTTGGGACCACAGACTTTCTGCTCATGCCAAGAGCAGAAGCAAAAGGAGGTAGTTTCCACATTCTGCAGGCTTGAAGGTTCATGTGCCTCACTGAAACTTCAGCTGAGGGACTCCATTGATCATGCAATAATTTACCTTCATGCTGTTCTCTTAGCATCAGTTCATTTAGACAGGCGAGACTGTTGTGGACAATGATCCTGAGATCTATGACGCAACTTGCTCTTTTTACTTCTTTTCAGGACTGGCAGGAAAATAAGTGTGGCCCTCAATTTCTAGTAACTCAGCCTAGTACCTTGGAGTGAGGAAAATCTGTGTAGCCTGATTTGTGAAGGTCTTCCGATCCTTCTTCATTGTAATACAATAAATGCCTAGTTACCAGTGTTAACATAGTCAGTGAATTATCTTCAGTCGCTCCTCAGCCAAGGTTGTTATCAGCTAATGCCACAATAATAAGGTGTGTAAAACCACCCCAAACTCAGTGGCTTAAAACAACAATCATGTGTCTTCCTGGGTCTGTAGATCAGCTGAGGGACAGGGTTTGGCTAGAGGATCTCTGCGTCACCCTGCAGTTATCAAGGTTGGTTCTGCTCCACACATCTCTTCTCCTTCTCAGACTGACAGGCAAGCCAAGGCATGCCCTTCTCATCATGATGGCAAAGCATGAGAGAGCACGCCCTATTGCATAAGCACATTTCCAGCCTCTGCCTGTGTCACGTCTACTAGCATCCATTAGCCAAGACAAGTCAAACAACAAGTCCAGAGTCAAAGAATGAGAAAGTACAACCTGCTACTGTGGGAGGCCACAGCAAAGTTACAAGGCAAAAGATGTAAACGTATAAGTCTAATCTTATTACTGGAAGGTGAAGGGCCACAAAGAGTTGGAACGATAATCCAGCCTACCATCCAGTGCTTTCCCAGGTCACATTCCACCACCACCTACCTTCCCAATCCATGACAGCTGAAGAACTTGAAATAACTCCTTAATACAAATACAGTTAAAGTACAACTGAAAGAATAAATCCAATACTCTCAAAGTTTGCATTCTAAACCAGTTTTTTTAATATGGATCAACACCCAGAAATGGGATTGCTGGATAATATGGTGGTTCCATTTTAAATTTTGTGAGGAACCTCCATACTATTCTCCATAGTAGCTGCACCACCTTGCATTCCCACCAATAGTGTACGAGGGTCATTTCATTTCATGTCCTTACACTAGAATGCAAATAGGAAAAATTAAACTTTTATATCAGCTTCTGAACTGCATCACCCAATTGCTGGGGAAGGGTGCTAGTTAAAAGCAGGGAAGAGCATGGGACAAAGATATTACAGAAGGTTCAGAAAACAAAACCAAACGAGAAAACAGTGAAAAGGATACCAAGAGGTTATAAATAATTCTTGTTTTCTTCAAGTATACCATATCCGGCAAAAACAGAACCAAATCTCCCTATTGCTTCCATTACAAGATAAACATTTTACTTCTTTACCCTCATTGTATCAAAGGCTAGCCCCTTCATAAAGCTCTGAGGGAAAAAAAAGACATGTGTTGCCTGTGAACAAAGTTTCTTGTCTTTGCTTTGTTATGTCTACTTGGTTATGAGTGATATCTGAACAAAACGTCTTCATCTCGTTTAGCCCTTTTTTCCAATATACCTTTAAGAACACAGAGACTGAAATAACATCTGAGAATCCCAGAAGTATTTTGAGCTGAAACGTAACAAAAGCTCTGTTATGCTACATAAAATTGAGCCGAGATTGACAGATAATAACAATAATGCATTTCTACTTCATGCTTTTCATCTCGCTATATCTGAATTACCCACCCTCTACTTTGGAACCACTTTGCAGCAACTCCCTCCCCTCCACTCAAGAGCTACCACGTCTCAGATTAGAAGGCTGTGATGTTTCATGGCTATATAAACAAGAAGAAATAAACACAGTTCCCATACATATGCCTGCGCCAACCTTCCACCTTCTTTGTTTTTCACAAAGAAATGTTGTATTTAACTTAATGTGTATTCAAAACTAAGAAATTAGGTGCCAATTAACGAATTCATTGTCGTGTATCTTAGGTTTATTGCCCACGGTTGACATTCCAAATAATGTAATCTTCCAATTAATACTCATTCAACCTCATCTCATTTTGCAACAAATTAGTGCAAAACGTGCTGAAAGTCTACCTTTCTAAACAGCCTTCTCACTCCCCCAAGGATTCTAGACTTCTCTCTGAGTTACTGCTAATGTGTTTTATCCCAGGAATCTACAAGAATGAAACAGATACCTTCAAGGAAAGGAGTTGCTTGTCTAAGGCACGGGCAAGTTCCAACATCATGGCACATGGCACGGCTGAATCAGTAGCTCCCACAAACACCCTGTTGTTCCATTCGGGAAAATATTTGGAGTCATAGTGACAGGCGAGGACCAGGTGACGTTTAGCAGTGGGGTTGAGGGTGCTGATGATATTTGAGAAAGACCGGTATCCATAGGGTGTCCAACTCAAGAAGGTGTCCACTTCCAAGACCCAGTCAGCTTGAAGTCTCTGAATTCTCTGCATGATGTGCTGGTCAAAACAAAAACCAAAAGTCCAGATCTAGACACTTTTCATTTAAGTATATTTTTAAAATTGTATGTGATGCCTTTCAAGTTAAAAATGCAATACACACTTATTGTATTAATAGTAAGGATGTTTAAAGGAAAAACTAATCCTCTCCCTCTCCCCTAACCTTCCCGCTGACAGTCAATCCCAACCAATTGTGATTATTACCAACGTTAACAGTCTGATGTGTATCTTTCCACACCCTTCTTGTTTATATGAATATATACTAGCACACAAACACATATATTTGGCCACGTATGTTTTTATATAAATAGAATCCTACTTTACACATTACTCTGCCCCCTTGTTCTTCTTACTTAACAATATTTCATGGACATTTCTACATGTCAGGAGATAGAGATCCAGTTCAATACTTACTAAAGTCCGTTCTCAATATCTCTAGGAGGCTAGGAAGGCATGTTTGAGAAATCAGATATACCAAGGTCCTACAGGTCTCAGCTTCCACTCTTAGAGTGGAAGCCCCACTCTTTGAAGGCAAGAGCTGCAAACAGTAGCTCTTTTTGTCCCAAGTTCATAACATGTGCCCCAAGTCCAGCAAATATTTCAGAACGTAACAAACACTAACAAAATATACTGATGCTCACGTGCTAAGGATAATGTAGAGAGAGTCCAATAACAAGGGGGTGGTTGGGGGATATTTGAGGTCCTGTCCACTCTAAAAATCGATAAGGAATTATGAACCATAATGACATATCAAGTAGCTTTCCTTCTGCACCCAAGGCAAGTCTAGAGCCACTGCAAATGCTGGTAAAAAAATAAAAAAGAATTGATTTTTCCATCTCTCCTGGTCACCTTAGCCCATATGAGCAATATGGTGATTGATAGGAGAAAGCAGCAGATGGAAAAGAAACAGATGGAAAAGGGACTGAAAGTGTCTTCTTTAAGAATCTAGAATTTGTGGTGTGAGAAGTTATGAGTAAATTCATTGCTGTTCCATTTATCTTTTATATTTATTTTCCCTTTGCCTCATTTTCTCTCTAGGTTCCATTTATTTTATTTTGAAATATTATAAACGTTTTTGTAAGTTGCCTTGAAGAATTTTTTTTTAATCAAACAATGAACTAACCATCAACATAACCGGCAATTTGTTCCAGAATTAACATCCAGGGGTGATGGACCTTGAGATGATAAACCTGTAACTTATAATAACTGGAAAAAATGGGAGAGTTTTCTCCTTAAGGAAATACAAGACTTTCTAGCCCAGCCAAGTCTCATGCAGCTTGCCCTAACTAACATGACATGACACGTAGGCTGGGGCTTTGGGAAAACTGTGGCAGGAAGCTTCCAGGAAGAACAGAACTAAACCAGAGAGGAGGACAGTGATTCCACAGTCAATCCTGCAAAAGCCAAATAAACGCGTGATTCGCCAGCTAGTCACCCCTTGCTTTCTGTAGAGAGGTGGACTTTGGCCTAAATAGCCTATGGCCCAATACCTTGCCTTTCCTATTACAAGTTTACAAGTTGTCTTTTCATATAATAAAAAAAAATGTTTATAAACTTTTTGAAATCATCATCCCTCTCTCACTTACTTTGTTAACCTCCACAATTCTTAGTACTAGGCATTGCTCACAGTAGGCTATCAATAAATATGGGCTGATTGTAACTAAGAAGTTATTCTCAGTGAGAATATATAAAATTACATAATGTAGAACATTAGCAGTTTGAACAGAGAGAAATCACTGTGCATCTAAGATAAGCTTTCCACAGAATATGAAAATAAGTTATCCCCAGACTTTGGGGAATAGAAGTTTTTCCATAAAAGGGGTCATCTAAAAAAAAAAAACCATATACTCCAGAACATCTGGTATCCAGATGATGAACAGCTCCATAAAATGTCTTCAGCACCAATAGCCTGCGTGCTTACAAAGTGAATTGGGATTTTAAAAACATATCTGTTAGCTTTACTCGGCTGAAACCTCACACACAAACTCATTTCCCAACTACTAAACAGGTCTTGGCCATAATTTCTGATGTCTATGTTGACACTAAATTCCACAAAAGCATCAATATATGCCCTCAAAAGAGTTCTCCCTGAAGTAACCTTTTTTATTCAGTATAAATGTTTTTTATTTATCTTAGCAACTAATTTCTTTATAAACAATCAAACTGGCTGCATAATCTAATTAGATTGCCAATATCCCTTGTTGATGTGCTTTTGGCTCTCGGGCTTAGTCTGCAAGTTCCCACCACAATTCTCTAGAGTAGGCGTCAAAAACTACTGCCCTTCTCACTAGAACGCCCCTAGGCAGGAAGTGCTTGGCTGTGGGAGGGAGTCTAAAGCAGCTGCACTTCCCTACACCGGTAGCAAAAGCCTGGGTCCACCAGGGATGCTAAAGTGCAATTTAGAAGACAGGCTGCATTTTGGATCACTATACATCTATTTTTTAAAGTGGGGAAGGGAGAAAGAGAGATGGAGACAGAGAGAGATGAAGACAGAGATAGATGGAGATTGAGTAGAGAAAAAAAGAAAAGAATACAGAGATAGAGGTGGAGACAAGGAGGGACAGAGAGTGAGCGAGGAAGAGAGAGAAAGATAAAGGTAAATATAACATTCTACTTCCAGAGGGGGAAGGCCCAGGGGATTTTAGGTTAACATTAGTGAATGATCCTGGGTCTAATTTAATTAAACTTAAATTCTCATCTCCAGGTTCTGAGAATCAATGACATTAGTAGACCAGATTTGTTTGAAGGAAGCAGATTCTGCAGTATTTGCACCAATCTGCACAGACCATTGTCAGGATGCTGAATCTCGCCGCTAGAGATGTCAAGGACCTCTTCCTTCTTGGATGTACCACATACTAGTCTCCTGGGCTCCGAGCTGAGGCTCTCCGTCTGGGCCCTCCACTCAGGGATATACACGCCTTTTGCTGAAGTGGGCCAGCTTCAGCTTCTCAGATGCTCTGTGCAGCTATAGGGGATTTTAACCATGAAGTTTCCAGGTTGCTTCTTTTAGACAAAGTTTCTGGCTTGCACCTTAGTGAGACTTTATCATCTTAATTTTTTAATCTATTTTTTATTCCTATATCAGATAGAAGTCACTGAAATACCTCAAAATTTCATGCCTTCAAATTATTTATTTTACAAATAAATTATCTCTTCAAATAAAGATATTCTAAAAATCCAATAGGCACCTCTAGGCTCATTGATCAGAGACAGTAAAAACGCAGACCAATGGATATTGTTCCTATAATATTCTCTGAAAGAGAATCCATAGCAATGCACATCTTTATTGACAACTGCAAAACTTAATTCAACAATCAACTTTATATCAAGTCCACTTTTTTTAGATTTGAGAGTTTTCTCTAGTTACAACCCTGGAACTCTATAAATTATAAAACATCTGATCTAGTGCTCAAAAAGGGCTCAGGAAAAAGTTTTTCCACCAATCTTTTTTAAACTTAGTTCTGAGTGAAAGGTACTAATCTTACTCACTTAAGGCCGTTAGTCTAGCACCCTCATAAGAACTCAAGTGTCATCCATGTCATCTTCAAGAGCAGAAACTCTTGAAGTTTCTTCCACAGCTCAGGGGACAGCTCTCTAAAAATTCATGGTGATTTTCTTCTCAAAAAATTATAAAGTTGAATCTCTTAAGTGAGATTTCTAACATCCTGTAAGGATTACTGCCACGTCAGGTAGACCATGCATAGGCAACCCAGGAGCAGTTCTCAACACGTCCCAAAATACTGTCAATAAATTTCTCATTTGCCTCCACCCGCCTATGACATGGAAAATGTTTTTATGGGTTCAGTAACACTTTTCAATGAATACGTATTTTTTAATCACAACAGTGTCTATGTATATTATTTATGATATATATTCTGTTAAAGCTAAATAAAGATCAAAATAGCAATACTGTGTTTATGGACTTCTAGAGGCCCATAGGCAAGGAACCTCCGGTCTGAAGTACACATATGTTTCTGGGTATATACGGCCTTCCGATCAAATGGTATGGGGAAATGAAAAAGGTTCAGTTGAGTGAGTATTATACACCTAGATCTTTTTCTAATGAGGAACTGAGGATTTTGGAAAGCCCCAGTAAGTGCCCTACACTTCTATTAAGAACATGCTTAGGATGGGGCCGGCCCCGTGGCCGACCCCGTGACCCAGTAGTTAAGCTCACACGCTCTGCTTCGGCGGCTCAGGATTTCACTGGTTTGGATTCTGGGCGTGGACATGGCACCGCTCGTCAGGCCACGCTGAGGCGGCGTCCCACATACCACAACTAGAAGGACCCACAACTAAAAAACGTACAACTATGTACTGGGGCGTTGGGGGCTTTGGGGAGAAGAATAAAAAAAAAAGAAGAAGATTGGCAACAGTTGTCAGCCCAAGCGCCAATCTTTAGAAAAAAAAAAAAGGGGAGAAGAAAATGCTTAGGAGATGAGGCCCAGGGAATATCGTTGAACCGAATGGCATGTGTCTCACTCTCCAACTTGGGCACGAGAAGATCCAGAGCTGGAGACTTTTATGAGCATACACTATACAGCTGGTTCCGCCCAGCCACCACTTTCCAATGATAGGATGGAGAGGTCAAGCAGATTTGGGTCCAAGTTCTGGCCTCATCACTACCACATGTACAACCTTGAACAAGATAATTCATACACCTAAATCTCAGGTCTTTTTAAATCTGTAGCACTGGGATAAAAATAGTACCTACATGGTAGCATTGCTGCGAGGTCTGAATGAGAGGATCCATGCAAGGAACTCCATAAAGTCCCTGACCTAAACACAGTGCTCAGTGAAAGTCAGCCATCATCGTTATTATTCAGTACTCTGCCTAAAGGTTGGTAAGAAGTAAGGTGCTCCTTGGATCTCCCCCATTTAATTCCTTAGGAGAAGCAGGAGCTGTTTGGATGGAAGACAAGAGGCTGATGGGGAGACAGACAGTGGCTGTCTGTTAGCCTTGAGGGGCAGAAGCCATATACCTGACAGAAAAGAAGAGCCCAACAGCTGTGCCACTGCGCCTTGCAGGTGTCACTCTGTCACAGCAGTGGAGTGCCAAGGTCTTTGCCTGAAGAGTTAGGCAGATGGAGTACTCTCAGAGTTAGATATGAGGGGCCAGTCTCTCCCCACTCCTTCTCAAGTTGCCCCATGAAATGGGGCTAGTTTTACAAAAAACAGTCATTCAGAGGCAAAGTTTCAGATTGCATAAGAAGACTGACACTAAGGAGGCAGATAGACATTCAAAATCTGACCCAGCTTATGGCCTAATCACCCCTCAATGGCAGTGTCTTTCAAACTGCAGTGGTAAAATCAGTGGGTCTTGAAATCAGTTTAGTGGGTCATGATTAGCATTTTTTTTAAACTAGTAGAATAGAATTAATATCAGAGTAATATTAACATATTAATATGATATTAATAACAGTGTCAGAGTAAACTGTAGGTAATAAGAGTATTTTTTCATGAAATTTTTGCGTCAGTTAAATGTTTTTTTACATATCACTCAATCTTTTATTTTTTTACATTTATGTAAATTTAACTAACATAAAATGGACACACTCAAACTTATTCATAACTGAATAAGGAAGAAATACAGCAATCAAATCCATGTTTTTGCAGCTGGTCAGCCTTTTATAGCTGGTCTTTATAACTACATTCTTCCATTATCCATTTCATATTTCTTTTGTTCTCAGCAAACTTATCTGGTTGTGGTTCTTCACCTGGTTGAACAACCCTAACCTCCATTTGTGAAGAGTCAGGACCCTTAGTAGTCATGCCTGGGTTGGTTTCTTGTGATTTTCCATTGATTTTATTATTTTTCTTCATCTTTATGTTTGTGTGGATAAAATTTAAAATGTATTTTTTTACCATGGATCAGAAGTTTGAAAAGCACTGCACTGGAGAAAGTAGCTTATTACTGATCTTGACTCTCCCTCCAGGATGAGTACAATTTCCCAATGGAGAATGAAGGCCTCACAGGACAATACCTCACTCTCGGCCCAGAACCTCCAAGCAAGGACTGTAAAAGGCTGTTAATGTTGGGTGTTTAAGAGTCCAAGAAAACTTGGTTGGGTGCCCCGGGGGTGTGTTATAGAAATGATCAAGAGTTGAGTGCTTAGTACCCTGTCTGCTGTTGTACCCCGGGGAGAGATTTCACACAGAAATTGAGTTAGATTAATACGCATCACTTAATTCAGAACAGATGTTTCCTCCCAGTTGTTTGCTTTTCTGGGTTGCTTATTTTGGTGAATAATAAGATGACATGACATATCTGAATGTTAGACAACTCAGCACTTTGGACATAATATTATCTCTCATGTGAAAGCGAATACTATTTAACAAGCTTTAGGTTTGTGTGCTGTGTTCTCACCTGGCGAGCAGCGTAGCTTCCTCGGGATCCCGGGTAGCGCTCTATCAGCAAGGGTCGTAAGTCATTTTGCCACATTTCAGAAATATTGGTGCCTTCTGCCACGCGCCGAAGAGATGACGAATTCAAAGTGGCTGGTCGGTGATAATTCTGAGGATTGAATCACATTATTGAACTGGCTATCATTTCATAACATGTTTAAGACTCACCCTGAGACATGTGCAATTAAAAAACATTTGCTTTGAATCTCAAAATAAAGGGATAGCTCTTATGTCACGCAAGGTACTTTAAACTACTCAACTTTAAAACTGGTCTCTTAGACCTAGAAAGTTAAACTAATTGTTTTGGTAGTTTATTTTAAAAATAAAATTAACATAATTCTTAGAACTTGAAAATTAATATTTATCACATTTCCTGTGTAACGTTTAATGATTTTTGGTACAATTGCTTTGTAAAACTAAGGTTTAAAGATATCAATTATTGGGGCCGGCCCGGTAGTGCAGTGGTTAAGTGTGCACGTTCCGCTTCGGCAGACCGGGGTTCGCTGGTTTGGATCCCGGGTGGGGACATGGCACCACTTGGCAAGCCATGCTGGGGTAGGCGTCCCACATAGAAAGTAGAGGAGGATGGGCACGGATGTTAGCTCAGGGCCAGTCTTCCTCAAAAACAAAAACAAAAAAACCAACTATTGATCTCTTGTTCTTAAGAAAACCCACTATTTAAAAAAAGAACGGGCAACAAAACAATATATTTTGTTCGCATAACTGTTTTATAAAAGGCAGTGTGGTGTTACAGAATAAGCACTGTCTTGAGGTCGGACAAGGTGGATTCAAAGCTGCTGGCTGCCATTTATAGGTTGCATAAGCGTGGACAGTTCCCTTAACTTCTCATTTCTCTCAAAAAACTAATAAAGGAGTTTGAGCTAGATCTGCACTGTCCGATATGGTAGCCGTTAGCCACATGTGACTATTAAGCTCTTAAAATATAGCTAGCCAAATTGAGATGTGCTTTAAGTGTAATATACACAGCAGATTAATAATTTTTATAGTGATTACATGTCGAAACGATAATTTTTGATATGTTACATAAAATAGATTGTTAAAATTAATTTCACCTATTGCTTTTCACTTTTTTTAACGTGGCTACAGGAAAATTTAAAGTTACATATGTGCTTCTCAATATATATTTCTATTGAACAGCTCTAACCTACACGATTGTTGCAATTCCTTTCACCCAGAGTTTAATGCTTCTATAACCCATTAAATAGTACACTTTTTATCTTCAGTTAAAATTATTTTAATATTCTATTAATGCTCCAACTCTTAGGTACACTTATATAATATTAAGTAAACCTTAACTTAAACAGCTAAGTAAATATAATATTCAAATATACATTTTGGATACTACTTCACACATGCTGTATTTTCTTATGATACTAGTAATGATGAATTATTCACTGATTACAGGTTTATCAGGCACTCAGTGACAAATGCGTTACTCCTCTCCACAAGGAAGTGAGTGGTTGGTGAGATGATTTCTTCCCTAAGGGGAACGATGAAGGTAACTTAAGGGTTTTAAGTTCCTTGGAAGCCAAAACAGAAATTGGAGGAAGCTTGTCTATTTTACAGTTCTTTCAAGAACCAGTGTCTGTTGAGTATGTCTAAGTAATCACATAGGTATTTTCACTCCATAAGAAACACTCCGTGAGGCTGGTGAGAAACTGTGGAATTAGAGAACACTTACCACCTAATTACTTATATTTATCTACACTTTGATATGCCTCATCATTACTCTCCGGTATTACCAAGCAGAGAGCATGAGCTGTGGGTTCAGACAGACCCTCTCAGTTCAGCCCTCATCACTTACTGGCTGTAACTCTGGCAAGGTTACTTAACCTCATTAAGGCTCAATTTCCTCATCTCTAAAATGGAGGTAATAACACCTACTTCCTAGGATAATTGTAAGAAGGGAGGTAATCTATGTAAACTCCCATGGTAAATATTCAATAAGTTTTAGTTCTATTATCTTCTATCAAACACTAAAGAGATATAGAATTGAGAGCTGGAAAGGCCACTTAGAGATGACCTAGTCCACCCTTTTTGATGTATATCAGTGGAAACTGAGGTTCATAGAAATCAGCTGATTTTCCCGAGGGCGTAGGAGAGTTTACGGGTAGGTCCACAGAAAGACGCCGGTTCTGTGCATTCCCAATCCCATGCCAGTCCTGCTCTGCCTCCCTGCTTCCTCTAGACACACTTCCAGTTTACTCCCGAATGTTGATGCCATGCCTGAACATCTTCACATTTGTGTTTATTTACTGGTAATACATTTTTAAATATATTTCCTTAATAAATTTGCCACTGCAGCCTTTAAATTCCTTGGTACCTCCAGGATCTCAGTCCTCACGTTAACTCTCAAACAGCACTTTGAGAAGAAAGCTGAAGCGAAAAGACAAAACAACAGAAATATAGGAAGGGAAAAGAAGAACATGGAGGCAAGAAGTCAGAAGACTTACATGGTTAATTATTATTTAACCCAGCCAACAGGAGCTTGTCTGGTCTCTCCTGCCTCAGGAGCTCCAAGCAGGGCCACTTGTCCCAGCTCACCATGCTTCAGTCACCCTGGTGTCCTTCCAGGCCCTGAAGCAACGTGAGGCTCTGCCTTGTTGGGCCTTTGCATCTGCAATGCCTTCCAGCTTGAAGGCTTTCCTCTTCCTCTTCACCCAGCTAACTCCTATTCATTTCATGTTGCAACTTGGAGGCCACTTCCCGTGTGTTTACTTGTTGAACATCTGATTTCATACAGGATGTCAGCTCCATGAGGGTAGGAACTCTCTTTCTTATTTTCCACTTTCTCCCCAGAGCCACACAGTGCCCAGCTTATATTGAACACTCGAAAAATATTGGGTGAATTAATCAAATAAGGAATCAACAGATGAACTATCCTTCTAAAACTATCTTTACATAATAATAAAGTGAAATGGGTATTTTAGTCATCATAGATATCAAATCAGTTGACTGTACCAGCAATTATAAAGACAGGAGAGAGAGGGAACTACGTGCTGCAAAGGGCCAGGAAGGGCTGCGGCTCGGTGTTGGTGCTCTTTGCTCTTTTTGAATTTCTGACAGTTGATGCTTGTGATGATTTAGAGTTGCACTGGCCCAGGGCAGTCACTGTGACAATCAAGAACTGTTGTGTTGGGGCCGGCCCGGTGGTGCAGTGGTTAAGTGTGCACATTCTGCTTTGGTGGCCCGGGGCCTGCCAGTTCAGATCCCGGGTACAGACATGGCACCGCTTGGCAAACCACGCTGTGGTAGGCGTGCCACATATGAAGTAGAGGAAGATGGGCATGGATGTTAGCTCAGGGCCCGTCTTCCTCAGCAAAAAGAGGAGGGTTGGCGGCAGATGTTGGCTCAGGGCTAATCTTCCTCAAAAAAAAAAAGAACTGTTGTGTCAGGAAGGCTGTTTGACCAGTGACTCCTTTTCTATTTACTGTCCATTCCTCCTTCCCAGAGCCTGGCTGATCACTGTGGATGAGATGCTTCACTTCATGTCCACAGTGAAAGGAAATCAAGCTCACGTTTAAATGTGCGATTTATGGAGGCTTGAAAGAGTTCTTAAGCGATTTAAGAGAAAACAGGGACAAAATAAATAACTTTCCAGTATCTCTAGCTGTAACAGTTATTGTGGATGAAACATAGTTGACAAACAGCACCAAAAAACGTTGAATGGATGGATAAAGGGTAAGCTCAGCAGACAGGCCACTGATGCTCCTGAATACAGAGACTTACACATGTTGCTCCTCAATCTCCTGGGCTCAACCATTTAATTAACTTACTTCAGCAAAGAGCCCTCCCTCTCCTCACCTTCCTGGGAGTAAAGATGCTCCTGTGAAATGGCGGAGAGAAAAGCTTCCCAGTCAGTGAAGAACAGAGAGGGAGAAACGACCACACTCAGTTAATTACTTAAGCCTTTCTATTCATTAAAGCCCTGTATGCAAAAGCATTTGACTTTTCCAATCTAAATGGCATCCGTTCGATTTTTATGGAGACTTACTCTCAGAGATCAATAAACATAAAAATCTATATGAAGGGGGGAGGAAAGAGTAAGAGGAGAAACCTAGAAAGAAGGTGTGGACTGGGATAAGGAAAATAAATGAGGCAAAAATGTGTTGGGCCTGATGTTAGATGCAAACCTCAAATTATTCTAGGTTCATTTCAGTTAAAAGGCACGTAGACAACTTTCCATTGGTACAAGCATTCTCAGAGGAATGAGTCTCTGTTACAGCCCCTGCCTTGTCTTTTCATCCAGGCAGAAAGGACAAAAAGTCTGCTTTGGGTGACAAGAATCTTTCAGCTAAAAAAGTGTGAACCAGATATCCTGAAGCATCTCCTCTAGGTTAAGCACACGGTGCCTGGCCAAAGAGGAGTTTAATTACATAATTTGTAGAGCTGGCTCAGCGTGTGGAGGGGTTTGAGATCCCAAACCACGGAATTAAAGGGGGATCATTACAGAAGTGCAGCCAGTGCAATTCCAGTTTCCATCCTATATGAACATCTCCCAGACAGCATTCAGATTAACACCTGTGTCTATCTACAAATCCAACACAGCCAGCATTTACTGAATTCCTTCTGTGTATCAGATGCCGCTGACATTACAAATGCAGTTATGGAAGAGCTGAGAACTGAATAAGATAAAGTTCTGTCTTCTTTCAAAGCAACCAGCCCTCTATCTAAAAGCGAAACAGTACGGGCTTTGAACACTACATTGTAGGGTCAGGTCCCAGCTCCCTCACTTACTAGTTGGGACTAGGAAAAGCTTCCTTATCTGTAAAATGGATGTCACAGTACTTACCTGCCGATGTAGAAGCTCAAAGACGGCACATTTTTGTCTTTCTTCCCCTGCCAACACCCAGCCTACCACTGACCTCCCTGTCCCTGCCTTGGAGTCTCCATTGCTGCTTCCATAAGAATCATGGTGGGTGGAGGGGTGGATGGCTAAGGACTTTTAGAACCATGGAAGAGGGGAACACTAAGGACTTTTAGAATACCTACGGCTCCGGGGGCAGAAGAATGTGAAATGCTGAAGACAGCAGTAATTGTTTGCCAGAGCTGACCCTGGAGGAGGATTCCCAGGTGAGACCAGCTCTCCTATATGTGGTTCCTCTGTTCAAAAAATCTGCCCCTGTATCCCCAATATGACTTAAATGTTTCTACTTCACCTTTGTTACAATAAACAAAAATTCTACCATTAAAATACATTGGGTCCCAGCTTTATGATAGAGAAAGTTTGGAAATAACCTAAATATCAACAATAAAGGGACAGTTAAATTATGGAATGAAGATGATTTTGCAATCATCAAATGACGCTTTCAATGACTGTTATTGGCTCAAGGAAATACTCATACTGTCAATCAACATAGCAAGATATAAAACTGTATATACAGCACAATCTCTAGTATGAAATAAATATTCATGTGTTTATTTTAAAAATAAACAATTAACCTTTATGGAGCACTTACTATATGCCAGCCACTGTGCCGAGGTCTGTACAGGGACAGCTCATTCAATTCTCACAAAAACCTGTGAGATTGGTATAATTATTATCCATCTCTATTAATGCAAATATACACATACACATATATATGGAGAGAGAGACAGAACTAAAACATCAAATTTATTTATTTATTTTTGCTTGAGGAGGATTGGCCCTGAGCTAACATCTCTTGCCAATCTTCCTCTTTTTGCTTGAGGAAGATCACCCCTGAGCTAACACCTGTGCCAAACTTCCTCTATTTTGTATGTGGGATGCCACCACAGCGTCGCTTGGCGAGCAGTGGGTAGGTCTGTGCCTGGCATCTGAACCCTTGAACTCCGGGCTGACAAAGCAGAGCACGTGAACTTAACTACTATGTCACCGGGCCAGCCCCAACATCAAATTTATTTAGAAATAAAAACAACAAAATGGTTAACAGCAATTATCTCTGAATGTGGAATTATGGGAGAACGATAGTTTTCTTTTTAGTATACTTTTCTGTATTTTCCCAGTTTTCTAAAATGAGCACATGTTAACTTCATAATTGAAGGGCTTCAATAGAAGCCATACTTTAATGTACTGGAGCTAATAGCTTCCTTTTTAAAAACATATGTAGCCCTCTTAACAGCCATCAGTCACTCCACCTAAGGGAGGACTGACTTAATGATATTCCTTTTAACAGCTGGTTGACAATGCTGTACTAAAGGAATGAGTTTGTACTAAAGGAACAGGATTAGGAGTCAAGGAGGCAGGGGGCAGGATTCAGAGAAGTAATTTCGGAATATGGATGAACCCCCAGAATAACAACCTTTAAGCTCTATGAGGGAGATGAGAGAAAGGGGAAATAGGGAGTGAGAGAAGAGAAGTTTCCAAAAACAAACTACCTATTTTGGAATTCCATTTAAGATCCACCCTGACCTAGAAAGGGGAAGCGATCCCTTCCTCTGGCCCTCCAACCCTCCAACCCTCCCCCACAGCCCCACACTCCTTCACTACCTGGACACTGTTCCCTGTGCCATCAGCCAAGACTCATCTATCTACCTTGAAGAAGAGAGTGGAGGAAGAAAGGAAAGATGAGGGCTCTTCAGTTCCCTAGTGTAATCGTGGTTAAGTTTCCTCATCTATAAATTGGGGGAAAACATACCCTCCTCACAGGGGCACTGTGAGATTCCTGTGAGATGGTTATCTGGTACCCAGATGCCAATGCTCCTTAATATACACCTGTGGGCCCACCCACAAATCTAACAATTTATACTGTTGCTTCCATGGAAAAGTTGGTTGCAGGTTTCAAATAACCAACTCACAATCTTCTGAACACAACCATAAATTAAGGTTGAACTGTTTTTACATACTAAATGCCACTAGAAGAGACACACTGTTTTTTCAAAGCAAAGAAAATGGATTTCAAAATCAATGCTTTCTTTACCACACCTCACCTCTCGCCAGACCAGTGCACCAAGGGCACACCTCACATGATTAAAATGTTAAATGCCATATAGAACAGGAAGGCCTTTATTTTAGAGTGGACTTATTCATTTCCCAGGCTGCAAACTTGTACTGGCCACCTGGAAATTTTATGAAGTCCTACAGAATAAGGGAGGAGAGGACCAGAAATCGGGAAGTGTCGTGGCTGATTGTGTCATTTGATTACACCATTTGAAAGCATCATTTCCCAAGACAATAGCGAATAGAAGCCTCTTAAAATAAAAGGGATTTGTCCTTTAAAAGACATTTCTCAAAAGTTAAATTCTCATTAGTTTAAAACATTTTAAGAATCCATTACCTTCTCCAACCCACAAATTCATCTTGCCTACAAATGATCCCTTCAGAGCCGTTCTTTCAAACAGGTCTCATCTCACTCATTCCCATCCATTTAGATGTATGGTAAAGACAGATTTGGCGTGGCTCCCATTCTGGTTCTTAAGGCCCCATTCCCAATTTCTGACCAGGAAGGTACCCACCACCAAGTGAAGGAGAGGATTTAAGTAGTATGTAACTCAATGTTCCTCAATGAATGTTACTCCTACTGAACCCCCATAAGAAGTTGTTTTCCTTATAATGAAGTTATTCTTGAGTCTACCTCCCTCATCCTCACCAGGTTGCCTGTGGCTGGCGGTCTCCGTGTGTAAGTGGGGGCATGCTGTGGCCCCTGAACGGTGAAGCTAATTAAGCATAACCCAGAGAACTGAAGCTGGCTATTCATAAACGTGTGTGGCTGGGTGAGAGTGGGCTTGTGAGCCAACACAAGGCCCCTGCATTTACTAGCATGCTGTGTATTTGAAACGTGAGTAAATAGAGGCATACTGCAAGCATTCAAAAGATCTGCTCAACATTATCAGAGTTTATATCCGTTTACTGTGCTGCTTTTCTTAGTACCTTTAAAAGCACACCATTTTACTCCAATAACATTAAATTTGCATATGTCCCTAGCAATGTCACGATTTCAAAACTGTTACGCAAGAAAGGGAAATAATCGTGAACCTCTTTCCTTCATACACAGGGAACTTGCAAATCACTTTTATCCTAAGTTCCTTATATGAAATTTTCACCTACAACTAGATACATTGCTCTGACAACTTCATTTTACTCCTTTTTAAGAAAAAAATATATATATTTTAAAGTAAAGCGGGCCTCCAGTTAAGTTCCTTCGTTCTGAGCTGCTCCGCTTAAAAATCTAAAATAGACAAACAATTACATGTCCATCCAGAGACTGCATGGAAACTTCAACGTCTCAAGGGCGTCCTTGGATGCAGCGGTGGGGGAGCCGTGGGCACATCCCCGCCCCCCGCCCCCCCGGTGCGCCCCGCACCCTGGCGGCCGCGGAGCGCTGAGACCGCTGGCCTCGCGGGTCCCGAGTGGGCGGCTGCGCGGCGATGCGCCCTAGCCTCCCTGCTGGGCGGCCGCCAGCAAGGCACACTTCCTGCGCCTATCAGTACCCGCATCAGACCACAGTGAGGGGAGGCCGGTGACATCACCCAGCTCCCGTGGCGTCTCCAAAGCAGCCCCGAGGCCAAGGAGGCACGCTGGCGAGGACGCAGAGCCGAATTCCTCCGGGCTCCTGATGCGGGCACGGCTGCCTGGACCAGGGATCGCGGCTCTGCCCCGCCTCCCATCCTGCCTAGGTGGGGCTCTCCCGGCCCGCCGTCCCCGCACCCGGCAAGAGCCGCCCAGGTACAACCACGCAGCAGCAGCCCCTCACCTTCTCCTGGGTCCAGGCTACGGCGCCTGGACTGACCCCCCAGGCCGCCCGGGGAAGGGCAGCCACCAGCAGCAGCAGGTGTAGGGTGCCCACGACGCACCGGTCCCCGCCGCCTGCCATCTCTCCGAAGCTGTCTGGGAACTGGTTCCCCCGGCCGCTGGCGGTCACGAGCCCGGGAACGCGCGTCCTTCGCCTTCCCCCTTCTCCACCCTTGGGTCGACTGCGCCCGCCTCCCCATCGCCTCCCGGTCGCCTCCCCGCTGCGCTGCGCAGGCAGAAGCCACTGCTCTCCTCCCCTGGGCTGTCCTGGGAGGCACAGCTTCTGAATCCAAGGGAACAGAGACGACCACTTCCTTGTCTTGGAGAGGAAGAAAGGAAAGAAGGAAGAGACATGGAAGAGACATTTTTATGATCTCCAAAGCTGTAACCACGGATAGAGAGGGGCGGGAGGGTTCATCAGACCCAGTGGGGTTATGAAGTGTTTTCCCACAGCTCTGTGAGAAGGGATGGACAGGGAATCGACATTTACTCAATACTTCTGCACCAGCCACTGTCCTAGGTGCTTTTCTGATACTCCTTTATTTAATCTTCATAACCGCTTGAGGTAGACATTAATCCCATTTTACAGATAAGGAAACTGAGACTTTGCTTGCACAAAGCCTGAACTGGAACTCCCAGAATATTTCCTTTCTAACAGCCCATCATATCTTTCCTCTTTTTTCTGACCTTGCCCTATAGGAGACAGACTTTCACACTCCCAAACTGAGAAGTATGGTTGAAGTAATTATCTGAAAGAAATCAATCTAAAATGTTCACAGTGGCTCCTTAGGTGATCATCTTCTCCAGTGCAGGTCCCTAAAATGAAAAGCTAAACACAACTGTATTTACTTTGTACGGCATCAAAGATCGCTGTTAGAGAGATAATCCTAGAAAAAGATAAAAGAATATCTCAATTTTGTCTGTTAGTTTCTAGTCTAAATTGTCAGGACAATTATTTCCACCATCCTCTTCTTCTTCCCCGGTGAGGATCAGGGCGTGGCAGAGAGCAAAGGTCTGAAGGTAATGGAGTCAACCAGAAGGCTCACCCACTCTATCTTCTTAGGCTTGGCTGTAAGAATGAATTTAAAAAGAGAGAGGGCTAGCCTGGGAATACACTGTTCTGCCCTCCTCTGGAGCTACCCAGGAAGACAGGATGGAAATATCTACTTTCCTGATGTTCAAAATCACTAATCCTATTCATGTCTGAGAGTTTTGAATGACAATTTAAATCTTCAGACTTAACCAAAATTAAATAGCTTCTTTATTACGTTCATGGACAGTTCTTCTGATAATTGGACCACTTCAAAACTTTCTATTGGTACAATATTCAGAACAAAACCGCTATCACATCTCCCAATATATTTTCTCTCTTGCTGTTTAGGCCAACCTTAAAATAGTGGGTCTCCTGAGTGGCCAGGTAAGAAACAACCTAATTGTTTTTCTTACCCTATTATCTTTTTTTCTTTCCACAGTATGATTTCTATAAGAAAGGGAAGGTGAAAATAGCAAACCTATATGAAACAAAATGGTAAAGATAATATCATGCTAAGTATAAGCAATTCAAAATAAGAAATAAGGAAACGCTTCAGTTAAAATGTTAACACATCATTTGAGGATGATTTTCTATTCCCTGGGTTTCTCCCATTTGGGTTATATTTAATTCAATAAGATGCCGTTGCAGTTTGGGATCTACAGGAAGCAGACCCTGAGAGAGTTTAGCATGCAGGATGTGTATTAGGGAGTGAGTGCCCTTGGGACCAACCCGGGAGGGGAGGAGATGGAGGAACAGGACCAGGCAGAAGGAAAAGTCAGCAGGGAAGTCCACTCCCCGACAACAGCCTCACCCAACCGCATGGGGAGCCCCGGAGCTGAAATCGCCTGTCAGAGTTGTCCCACAGTGAGCCAAAATGGCTGAGGCCCCCACCTCATGGGGTGACTTCCTGCAAGCAACTCTCTGCAGCCAAAGGAGCTAACAGCTAGAGCTGTCTGCCAACAGCACTCCAACAGCTGGAGCAAAAGTCCTTCCCTGAAGGATCTGATCAGGGCGTCTCTTTATCCACGACAAATGCATCCGTGTGATGTATCTCGTACAAATCTAAAACATTTTACATAGTAAGTGAAGCTGATTTTAGTAAATTGGTTTTTTTACAAGTGTTGGCTTTTCTGACAATTTTCCATAAATCTACAATTCCAACACTACTTTCTATTGATGTATCCCTCCCTTCTTTATTTGTATCTGTTCTCACGCCGCATTCACTAAATATCCTTCTTCCTCTTTCCTCCGCTCATTCTTCTTTTCTCCCCTCCTTCATTCTGGAAACTTTCAGAAATCCCTTATAACTGCTATTTTTTTCCTTAGTGCGACTTTTCCTTTCTTCTGACTATTCCTATGGAAGATAATCTATGACTAAACTCATAAGTAAGCAATTCCAGTCTCTGTTTTTCATCATGGAAAAAAAATTAGTTGCGTATCCACTGATAGTACTAGTTATAAGTGGAGCGGTTTTCATCTTTACTATAGTACACATACCATACTGCGATTTGAAGCGTGTCAAGGACCCAACTGCTAAAAAAGATCTTCCCCGTGCAGTTGCCATGGCAGGATCTTCATACACCTAGTCCTATCTTTAAAGTGACACCATTGACTGAAGCAATAATAACCAGAAAGTTCTATTAAAACAGTAGTTCTCAAAATGTGATCCATAGACCCCTGGGGATTCCCCAAGACCCTTTTGGAGGTCTGCAAGTTCAAATCAATTTTTATAAGCAAGATTTGCTTTTTTAGTCTATTAACTTTGCGCTGGTGTGGCAAAAGCAGTGGTAAGTAAAACCGCTGACACCTTAGCACTTACTGAGACAGGTCACAAAACCGCACTATCAAAAAACATAAAACTGTACTCGTAGTCATTGAATTCTTCATTGTGTGCACAGTAAAAGAAAAGAAAAAAGACAAAAAGAAAAGAAAAAGAGTCAGTCTCACTTAAGATCACCATTGACGAAGCAATAAAAATTGTGGTTATTATTAAATCTCAACCCCTGAGTACATGTCTTAATCTAACAGCTTTATTGAGATATAATTAAAACATTTTAAATTGAATATATTTAAAGTATACATTTGGATGCCTTTTAACATATGTTCACACCCTTAAAACCATCACCACAATCAAGAGAATGAACATATCCATCTTTCACTCGTGGGTTATTTAGATTGTGCTGGTTTCCAAATGGGTGAGGATTTCCCTGACATCTTTTTGTTACTAATTTCAAATTTAATTCCATCAGGATCAGGAAAGGGACTTGGTATGGATGAATCCTTTAAAAATTTTTGCAAATTGTTTTATAGCCGGGAATATGATCCATCTTGGTAAATATTCCTTCTGCTCTGAAAAGAATGTGTATTCTGCTGTTATTGGGTAGAGTGTTCTATAAATGTCAATTAGGTCAAGGCAGTTCATAGTGTTCCCAAAATCTCCCGTCTAATAACTGATTTTCTACTTGTTCTATTGATTACTAAGAGAATGGTGTTGAAATCTCTGTGTGGATTTTCCTACTTTTGGTTCTATTAATATCATGTATTTCTAAGCTTTCTTATTAAGTACATAAATGTTTAGGATTGCAATATTCTTTTGACAAATTGATCCCTTTATCATTATGAAATGACCCTTTTTATACTTGGTAATATTCTTTGCTCTGAAATCTACTTTTCTCCTAATATTAATATAGCCACTCCAACTTCCTTTTGATTACTCTTAGCATGGTATAGATTTTTCCATCCTTTTTACTTTTAAACTATTTTCTTATTTACATATAAAATGGGTTTCTTATAAGCAACATATAGTTAGGTCTTGCTTTTTTGTCCAATTGGACAATCTCTGGCTTTTAAATAAGGTGTTTCGATTATTTATATTTAATATGATTATCGATATGGTCAAATTTGAATGTACCACTCTGCTATTTGTTTTTTATTTGTTCCATCTGTTCTTTGTTCATTTTTACCACTTTTTCTGATTTATCTTGAATTAATTGATTATTTATTATTATTTCACTTGTCTTCCTTGTTAGCTGTCAGCTATAGCTCTGGTTTATTTTTAGTGGTTGTTTTAGGATTTACAGTATACATCTTTAATGGATCATCATCTCCCATCGAGAATTATTATATTACTTAATGTATAGTTACATTAGAAACTTACGATACTGTACTTCTTCTCCCCCCTTAGTCTTTGTGCTGTTGTTGTCAGATATTTTAATTCTAAATATGTTATTAACCCCACAATACATTGTTATTATCTTTGCATTAAGCAATTATCTTTCAAAGAGATGGTTAAAATAAGATTTTCTAAAATCAGTTTCATTGACCCACGTTTACCATTTCTGATACTCTTCCTTCCTTTGTGTAGATACATACGTCCATCTGGTATCATTTCCCTTCTGCCTGAAGGATGTCTTTTAACTTTTCTTGTAGTGCATGTAGGGTGGCAATTTCTGTATGCTGAAAAAAAATTTCTTTTGTGTTCATTTTTGAAAGATATTTTCTCTGAGTATAGAATTCTATATTGACAGACATTTTTCTTTCAGGACTTTAAAGATGTTTCTCCAATATTTTCTTGCTTCATCTCTGATGAAATTGGCTATCATCTGAATCTTTGTTCCTCTGCAAGTAACTTGTCTCAGTTTGTCTTAAGATTTTCTCTTTATCATAGTTTTTAATAAGCAATTTGATTATCATATGCCTTGGGAATTTCTTTTTTTATTTTTTAAACTAATTGAGAGGAAATTTCTTTATGTTCTTGTGCTAAGTTTTCATAGAGTTTCTTAGATCAGTGGGTTTTAAGTTTTCATCAAATTTGGAAAATTTTTAGCCATTATTTCTTCAAGTATTTTTATCCCTCCTCCTCCTTTGGGGATTCCAATTACACGCATATTAAGTTGTGAAGTTTTCCCACAGTTCATCAATGCTCTGTTTATTTTTATGTTTCTTTCTTTGTCTATTTCATTTGCATATTTTCTATCTCTGTGTCTTCGAGTTCACTGATCTTTTCTTTTGCAGTGCTTAAATCTGTTGTTAGTTCCATCCAGCATACTTTTCATCCTAGACATTGCTTTTTTCCTTCTCTAGAAGTTTTATTTAGATTTTCTTTAAACCATCCATGTCTTTCCTTAACATGCTCAACC